CAAAAGCCACACTCGAGGATAAGCGAACTTCGCTTCTAGCTGATATGGACGCTTTTACAAAAAATCTTCTAGAAACTGGCACTCTCGCAATTGTGGATATTACTAAGAATGAAATTCCCGACGAGGAAGACGAACTCGAGCTTTCAGTACAAGCGGCTCACGCGCCGGCGCTTGATTTTGATGACGAAGATGCCGAATATCTTCCACGCAGTGACTCCATGAACTCAGAAGAAGTTGGGGAATTGGCACCACCGCCGGATGACAAAACGATCATGGACACGGAACCATATTTGGGAAGTACCGGCTCAGCCAAGACTCTTTCACTCATCAGCAACAGTGCTTTTTCTACGCCCCCTGACAATTCATCATCGAGCCTACACCTAATGCCTTCTAACGCCGGCGGCATTGAACATCACATGGGTGATTGTTTGCATGTCCGAGCGGAAGGTAGTCGAGTCTGTAGTTTATTGCTGACGAGCTCGCATCTCATCCTGGAGTATGAGGCTGATCATGATGGATTCTACGAGGGAGAGTTCTTGGCTGCCAAAGAAGATGCACAGAGAGAGCAGACTCTCAGAGATGCTGGGGAGTTTCATGACAACGATCCGGAGTGGCTATATCAGCATCGGGTCGAATTAAAACGAAGGGAAGCTGCACGTTTGCGGCCGCAATCGATTCGATGGAATTTGTCAGAAGTTTCTCACATATATCTGAGACGATATCGCTTACGCGATTCGTCCCTAGAAATATTTTTCATGTAAGTTTATGCGCATACTACTTGCTTCGTGACCGTTACTCATATAATGCCCATGCATCAACAGACCGTCCGGCGGGGCTTCATTCGGTGGGACGGGTGCATTCAGCGCCTCCTTATCACTATTTTTAGATTTCGGATCGGGACGCGATGGACTCACCCGTCGCGACGACATGGCATTCTCGATCATGCAGCGTTCTCCTCCGCAGGCAGTTAAACAGTGGCCGGATCGGAGCGCGATATTCCTTCACGACCAGCTTAACCGACTCACGCTTGGTTGGGCAGAAAGGCGAATAACAAACTTTGATTATCTGCTGCATCTGAACATGCTTGCGGGGCGAAGCTACAATGACATCTGCCAGTACCCAGTGTTTCCATGGGTGTTATCCAATTATACGTCAGAGACGGTTCCCGATTTGAATGACGTAAAAAACTATCGCGACCTGTCGAAGCCGATTGGAGCAATAAACGAACAACGTCTAGCGGAGTTTCAAGAGCGATTTGAGTCATTTGTTGATCCCAGTATACCACCCTTCATGTACGGAAGCCATTATTCAACAAGTGCCGGTGTCGTCTTGCATTTTCTCGTGCGATTGGTAAATGAATTTGTTTTATTTGAGTGCATTTGAATCGTGGCCTTTTTCTGAACCACCTCTGTTACAATTTCAGCACCCTTTCGCAGGGCTTCATCGCCAGCTACAAAGCGGGCACTTCGATTGCGCCGATCGCCTTTTCAGCTCAGTACCGCGGACTTGGAGTATGTGTACCGGCACCTCAGCTGCGGAGGTAAAAGAACTCACTCCCGAGTGGTACTGCAATCCAGCTTTTCTGCGAAACGTGAATCAATTCAAGCTAGGCACTTCACAAGACGGCGATGTCTTGGGCGACGTAGCGCTGCCCCCTTGGGCAAACGGCAGTGCAGACAAGTTTGTTGAAGTCATGAGAGCGGCGCTAGAGAGCGATATTTGCTCTGAAATGCTTCCATCATGGATTGATCTCATATTCGGTCGTAAGCAGCAAGGATCTGAAGCAATCAAAGCAAACAATGTCTTCTTCTACCTAACTTATTACGGCTCTGTGGACGTTGCCAGCATTGAAGATGAAAGTCTTCGTCAGGCGACAGAGCTTCAGATCCAGCATTTCGGCCAGACGCCGAGGCAGTTGTTCCGACGTTATCACATCCCCCGCTTCCCGGTGAATCTTCAACATCTATCATTCTACCAATGCATCAGTGCCTACAGCCCCATGTCCGGCTCGTCGCGCAACGACTCTATGGCCGCTGAGCTGACAGAAAGTAACAACGCATCGCTCGTGAAGGGTCGGAAACCATTTTTAGGTTCGCCAATCTCATACTGGGTACATTTGGATGCGCCTCCACCTGGGCCACATGGTGCGCTGATGAATGTTCGGTTTGCCGGCATCGATCGGTGCCTCGCCATTGACGACAAGGGAATATTCCACACATTTCGCTGGGCGTGGCGCGCTGACGAGTTAATTGACACTGCTGATAACGAGAATGGTTGTTTCATTGCGCAACGGGAGCTCCCACGATTTCGAACAATTCCGCGTCTGATGCATGCCTCGCCGCAAGGGCGTACTGTCGCAGCTGCCATATCCAAAACTTTGTTTGCAGGCCGTTCCGTCCTACTTGTTCTTTCGGACGGCGACGGAAAGGGTGGACTTGGCATGCAGCTGGTCGATCCGTCCAAGGGGAGCATTCGCGGGGAAGTGTTAATCCCTGCTGCTCACTCATGCGAAATCACATGCATTGTTACAGATCCGATTGGTACTGCGGCAGGCCATGGAGGTGTTGGCGGAGAGCTGGCACTCGTTGGCAGTGCCGACGGTTGCGCGAGTCTATGGCGTTTCATGTCCAGTCACTATCTTCCACTCCGGCCGCGCGCTCGCCTGGCGGGTCATCAGGGAGCCAAGATTTCTGCTGTTGCGTTAAACTCGACGACTCATCTAGCCGCCACGGTATCGGCTGAGCGACTTTGTTTGCATTCGATTGGCAATGGTAATCTAATTCGTAGTTTTGGTCCTCCAGTTGATACAGTCAGCATGGCGGAGGACAGTGCCTTGTCAGTGGTAACTCGGTTTGCCGACACGCCTGCTTTGGCGATTTCAAGTCAAGGCTTTCTCGTGACTGTTTGCGAAAGCATTATCGAGTACACTACGTTGACGCGCACTGTAACAACCCTGAACATGTTTTCGATCGAAGGCGAGTTTTTGGGGTCGCGACCGATGGAACGATGGCGAGGCAAGCCTCATCGTATGATGGCAACACCCGATGGAACTGCCGTTTTGGTTTGCTCGGGGCGAGGTGTCACGGTACACCGCCTTTCTTGCTGCCAGCCATTGGAAGTTATTGACGAATGGAGCGTTACCGAGTCGGACGACTTGACCAGCTCCGATAACGTTGAACATTGTTTCGATCTTGATTTAGGTCCAAGTTTGAATCGACCCGTGGCAGCGGCTGCCGCATGCTCCAATGGCGCATTACGACTCCACGCACTGCCTGGAATTTCGCAATGGAGCGAGCGGCACAAGAAGAGCAGTTTGGGTAGCACGGTGGGAAATGCCTTTGTCAAACCGGCACAAACAATGAACCGAGCGTTGAAGGAAGGTTTTAATTTCGGATCACGAATCGCTGGTATGGGTCGCGAAATAGGAAAGGATGTCGCAAAGGAAGTATCGACGGAAGTCAAGACGGCTGGAGTCGGCGGTTTTCTCGGCAATCTCATGAAGCGTCGCAACAATGCGCCAGGTTCATAATAATTACAATGACGTATAGTTAACATTACATGTTTAGCATGATAGTAGGTTTTATCAATAGTTGCTATGCACACTCGAGCATTTTGCGGAAATGACGCTGCTTTTCGCCAATAGTTGTCGTGTTCAACCAACCATCTATAAACGCACGACGTGTATTGACGCCAAACTCGCGTCTTGTATAAGATTTGGTGCAATTGCTTCGTCGTTCAACGTATTCTGTAAGCTTTGTCTCGCGTCGTATACCATTGAACGTCAATCGACTCGGAACATTGCTGACGGTTGATCCGGAGGCACCTTCATTCTGCATCCTTTGTCTGTTTTCGTCGCAGACCTGCCCGACGTAGTATAATGATACCAGTACTGGCATGGATACATCGAATTGCAAGTATTGATTGTCTCGTTGCTGCGCGTGTTTGTCGCTCATTGTTTCGTCGACAAGCTCACGACGTTGGCATGGCAGTGCCATTGGCGGCTGCTTCTCCTTTTATTCAAGCAACCAGCGCAGCCGCACGATTTATTCGACATTTGCAGCTGCACTAGCTTCTTGTCTAGTAAATTGTCGCCGACGAGTTGGTCTTCTATAGTAGTCGATGATTTGCGACTTGTCGTCGAGTCGTCGGCAATGAACGGACGACTGAAGTAACGCTTTTGCTTCACTGCAGTCGTTCAAGCTTCACAATATCATTATAGATCGTTGTCAGCGAATTTTGGAGCAAGCCGTGTTGTCCTGCTTGCAAGGTTAAACACACGGTTAAACCAGGACTCCGTTTGCAGCAGTTTCGTCGTCTCGCCTCCTCGTCTTTTCGTCATGCGATTTGCCGTACACGAGCCTCCTTCCATAGGTCTGTCGAGATATCGAAAAGATCCTCCCAGTAGTACGGTTGAGATCTTGTACTTGAACTAAAACTCGACCATTCGTCTCAGCGTACCTGCGCTTGCTGGAAGGAAGGTTCATGATTATTTCACGATGATGATGTGCCTTCGTCCATGCGCCCACTGCTCGTTCATGCTTCGAGCCACATTCCTTTTCGGAAGTCCTGCCCAGCTCCGTGCCAACTGCTTTGACACATATTTGATTGGCCATAATACGTCACGACATGACGTGTCACCGTCGAGGCGGCGCGATCCACGCCCACGGCGCGTTCATGCTTCGAGCCATTCCCACCGTACGTCCAGCCCAGCTCCGTGCCCACTGATGTGACGCACATCCGATTGGCTAGAATACGTCATGCCTTGACGTGTCACCGTCGAGGCGGCGCGCGAATGTCCTCGCGGTGCCTGCACGCGTCAAGCTTGGCACGTAGAACCATCGGACATTGTTTCTCACCGCTCCCTTTGCGTCATACCAGCGCCTATTATACGCTTGTACATTGAAAGTCCTCGTCAACCAATAGGAAAACTAAAGATAGCTATGACGGAAGGCACGCCATGAGAGAAGATTATATATGTATTGATGCCGCTTTGTGGTAATGGGGTATTAGCTCAGTGGTATGAGCGCCCGCTTTGCATGCGGGAGGTCCGCGGTTCGATCCCGTGATACTCCATTTCGTTTTGCCATTGCCGTTTATACTTGTTACGATTGTCCCAGCCTAGCATACATTTTTTGCCGCGTTCAAACATGCTTCTGCTGCTGGCGAATGCACTGTCAATTTGTCGCGCAGCAAGTAATGGCTCTCTTAAAAACCATGACGACTTCAGCAAATCGCAAATCGCAAATCACAAATCACAAACCCATTAACACGTTCACATCCTCCGTGGAGCTACACTGCTGCATTTATGTAATTGTTTGCTGTTCTATCTGTATAATGCACATTATGTGAGATTAACAGAGCTTTATTAAAGGTAATTAGTGAGACAGCGTACAACACCACAAGTCTTTTTGTGAAGGAACTGGGAAGAGGGTTCCTCCAAAATAGAAGAGAGTGTTTTGTCACAAAAGCATTCAGTAAAAAGTGATACTTTATCCCAACATGTAATAGGGTTGTAAATCATGTGATGATATCCTCTTGGTATTTCGTCGATTGGCGTCTTAAATGCCACCTTGAGTGCAGCATGAGCATTGCATCTTGCCAAGGTCAACCTCAAATGTTGCGAGATTGCCTGCAAACATGAGATCGCACATGGCATCAACATCGCCGCTCATGTCATTGTTGAAAAGTGTAACTTGGCGCAGTTTGGATGTTTTACCTGCAAAATCAGTGGCAAATTCTGATGCTGGAAATGTGCCAGTCAGCTGATTGTTGTGTAAAAGCAGCTCTTCAATCTTGGGCGCATTAATGTCAGCCGGAACTGTGCCTGTCAGTCGATTGCCATCCAAATGTAATCGTTGCCAGTCAAGCTTGCCAAAGTCACTGGGTATGGATCCAGAGATATCATTGTTCTCCAAGAAAAGTGTGCGGAGATTGGGCTCAGTTAAAGGAACATTATTGGGAATTGTGCCTGTGAAAAAGTTGTATGCCATATCGAGGTAGACCATATCTTCGAACTGCCACATGAAGTCAGGAATCGTGCCTTTAAACAGGTTAAAGGATAGCGAAAAAGTGTCAAGCTCCGATAATTTCACAAAGTCTGATGGTATTGTACCTGACAATAAATTGTCGGAGAGTGTGATCTCCCAAAGTGTGGACAGCATTGAGATTTCAGGTGGGAGAGTGCCTCTCATCTGTTGACCATAGTTTCGTATTATCTGGTACTCTTCAAAGCGGCCACATGGGTCGACTCCAATCATAGTGTACCAATCGCATTCATGGAGGTCGGAGACCCATAAATCTCCCTCCAACCAATTGTCACCATTGAATTCGCAGTACATTAAGGCCATTGCAAAGCGCTGTCGAATTCGCTCGACCTGGAACTCCATTATATCTTTTCCGGTTCGAAGCCATTCCCTTGCCCAATTCTGACAGGTACCGGGAATATTAATCAGATCCCTTGTTTGTGGAGGCAAAGCAGGATCAATAGCACCCATGATGTAACCACATTCAGCACTTTGTACACAAGGCAGAGAAGGTGGGATTGGGAGGTTTGGAAGAGTGTGAGGGGTGTTTGATATCGGAGCAGCCGGATTAAAGCCTAGCATCGGTGGTGTGCCCCCAGCCGGCGGAGGCACTGCAATGCTTGATGCGCCCATGTAAGTTACGGCAGCCACCAGCGGCAAGCTAAGCCAAATTGGCAAAACAATCCCTTTTGGAGCTTCCTTTTCTTCTTCTTCTGGCTCGTTGTATATGTCTTCCGGAATTGACATTGGCCTAGGCCCAGCTCCGGTGTCATCTTCTTCGTCGGGGTTTGATGCCCAAGGGGCGGATGGATTCTCCACGTCAGGACTACCCACCGGGTAGATTGGCTTGCTGCTTGTGAAATCAAAGTCATCATAAGTTTCTGGGGATGTCTTTGGCATTGATCCTGCCGGAGGCTTGGGCTTAGTGCTTGTGAATTCAAAGTCATTGTAAGTCTCAGGCCGATCTTGATGTTCAGCCCTTGGTTCTGAACGGCCTGAGGCTGGTTTATTGCTACTGAACTCAAAAATATCATGCGTCTCCGGCGCCTTCTTGGGTGGTGGTGGGCCACGCCTCCAGTCCCATCCAGGATAGTCCTCATCGTCAACAACCGGTTTTGTATTAGGTTTTGGTTTTTCACTCACGTATTCAAAACTAGCGTGCTGCGGTCGACTGCGGTTCCAGTCCCATTCCGGAGACTTATCTGAGGTATTATCATCATGCCGAGGCCTTGGTGGCAGCCCTTCTTGGGGGCCCGTTGGACCAAATCCTACCGGTGCAAGTTCTTCATCTGCAGGGACGGCTCGCTGCCTGTTCCAGTCCATGTCAGGTTCATCGTCAAAAACGTCATTCTTCCCAGGTCTTGAAGGGGTAGTACCCTGTGGGCCGAACGGCCCACTGAACGGAGAAGGCTCTCCAGTTCCAGGTGTTGGCCTATTACGATTCCAGTCCCATGCGGGCAATCCATCCGTCTCGTCACCACCAGGGATATGCCTTGGAAGTCCTTCATTTGGGCTTAGTATACCTTGGGTGTCAGGTGGCACTTCGTTACCTGGAATGGGTCTATTGCGGTTCCAGTCCCAAGCAGGGGAGGCTTCAGGAACTTCAGTTGCCTTTTTTGGATGGTAGTTGGAAGCCTGAGGCACTAGCTGCCCCTGTGGTTTTGGGCCCAAAGCATCAGGAATATCTGCACCCTTGTTTCTAAGCCAGTCCAAAACTTTTTCAACGTCTTCGGGTCTAGAATCGTCTGGAGGAAAAGCGCTCGCTGATGAAGAACCAATAATTGGAGGTTTGATAGCGCCAGGAACCTCTTCTTCAACAGAAGGCGCATTAGGATTCCTCATCCATTCAAGAGCTTCTTCCATTGCCTTCTTCTTATTGGCTGGTGACAGTTGACGCGGCAGTGGAACACCAGCAATGTTCGCTAGAGCCTCCAGTGCCGGTTCGTCGATCTCGTCAGGATTTGGTTCGTGGCCTCTTAACCAGTCAAGAGCATTATCAACTGCAGCCTTCTTCTCGTCAGCATTCAAACTACCTCTTGGGGGAGGCACCCCCGCCAAATTCAACAAATTATTAAGTGTTGGCTCATCAATTTCATGCGCTGGACCTTTGCGCCTCAGCCAGTCCAAAGAGTCATCTAGCACATTTGTTTTGTCTTCTGGCGTCAGCTGGCGAGGCAGTGGAACGCCAGCAAGATTGGCAAATGCTTGAACTGTGTCTTCATCCACATCATCTACTTGTGGATTATTGTTTCGAAGCCAATCCATTACTGCGTCAAGAGCTTCTTTTAGTTCTGTGGGTGGGATATGGCTGGGAAGAGGCAATCCCGGGACATTGACAATGTCTGCTGGTTGATGAATGTGACCACTCAAAATAGGTGTCTGAGATCGACGCGCCCAATCAAGTTCTGGTTCAGCCAGCGGTTTCTTGGGAAGATTAACGCCGGCAGTTTTAACGAGGGCTTGGAGCGAAGGCTCATCTAACTCTTCAATAGACTTTGGTGTTGGAGGATGCTTGCGTAGCCAGTCAACTGAATCGCTCAAAACTTGTTTCTTTTGGTCATCGTCAATTGGGCATTTTGGTAATGAAATCCCTGCCATGTTTGCAAAGGCCCTTAATGAGGGTTCGTCGACATCATTGGGTATGGGATTGTTCTTTCGCAACCAATTCACAGCATCATCCACAGCCTCCTTCCTACTGGTCGGTGTTCGTGGCAACGGAATACCAGCCAAATTAGCAAGTGACAGCAATGTAGTTTCATCAACATTATCCACCAAAGGGTGGTTGGTTCTTATCCAGTTCATTGCATCCTCCACTATCAGTGGTTTTTCACAGCTGAGAATTTCACGTGGTGTTGGAGTACCAGCAAGATTCATGAGTGCACTCATTGTTGGTTCTGTTACTTCAACAGCACTGGGAGAAAGGCTCCGAATCCAGTTCACAGTATCTTCAAAGGGCTTCTGAAACTCTGGTGAAAGATGACTCCTTGGGAGCGGAACACCAGCAAGATTGGCCAGCGCCCGAAGAGTTGGCTCATCTACATCATCTAAATTGGGAGTATTGCCTCTAAGCCAGTTCATTGCGTCATCAACAGAAGATTGTTGCCCTGATGGGGGTGTTGTCCTGGGCGTTGGAATTCCGGCAAGGTTCATCAGTGCACTCATTGTTGGTTCGGTTAATTCACCTGCATTGGGTGGATGGCTTCGAATCCAATCCACAGTGTCATCAAGGGGCTTCTGAAACTCTGGCAAAAGGCGACTCCTTGGAAGAGCGACACCAGCAATGTTGGCCAGTGCTCGAAGGGTTGGCTCATCCACATCACCTAATGTCGGAGTATTTTCCCTAATCCATTTCAATGCATCATGTAGCAAAGGTCCTTGCTCTGATGAGGGAACTGTCCTAGGGGTTGGAATTCTGGCAAGATTAGCCAATGCATCCAGGGTTGGTTTGTCTATGTCATTTTCAGACGGAGGATTGTTTCTGAGCCATTCCAACGTGTCATTGAGAGGCTTCTGGTGCTCAAATGATAACTGTTTGCAAGGCAATGGAACACCAGCTAGATTGGCAAGTGCGCGGAGGGTTGGCTCATCCACATTTTCTGGTTTGGGATTGTTTGACCTTATCCAGTTAATTGCTGTATCTAAAACATGAGACTTTTGTGTCAGAGATACATCACGTGGAGATGGAATTCCAGCTAAGTTAGCAAGAGCATCCAAAGTAGGCTTGTCTAACTCATTCACCAATGGAGGATGGCTGCGAAGCCAATCTACACAATCATTCAGAGCATTCTGCTGCTCATGAGAAAGTGGACAGTGGGGAATTGGGACACCCGCTAAATTAGCGAGCGCACGTAGAGTAGGCTCATCAATATCTTTTGGATCTGGCTTGTTGCTTCTAATCCAGTTCCAGGCTTTATCCACCACTTGGGGTTGCTCAGATGTGGGAATGGATCGAGGTGTAGGAACTCCTGCTAGGTTGGCTAATGCCTCTATGGTTGGCTCATCAAGCTCACCAGGCTTAAAGCTTTGATTTCGGAGCCATTCGGTGGTGTC